CAGTACTGGGACTTCAGGTGTGCACCACCACACACAGTAGGAAATGCATACGTATCCTAGCTATGCCTTAATATTTTTGAGGAAAGGGGCCTATTTTAAAAAATGTATATTTTACTACTTATTAATTTTATAAAATGTTAAGTTTCAGTGTGATATTTTCATACATACCTATAACATAGTTAAAAGTAATTATTTTTCATGATTGGTGAAAATTTGCTTATTATTAGTTTAAGAAATTCCAGTCTACTGTCTACTTGGATGCTATAACATATTAAAAAGTTATATCGATCTTCTTGAGCCACATAATTTCAGGTGTTCTTGTCATTGTCTGGTCAGCTAATGCAGCAACCAAAGAATCAAAGAGGGAATACATTTCCTGTCCTCACCCTGAGTTCTAGGCAGAAGAGACTTAGTGCCAGTATTAGTGGACATCTTGTTCCCAGAGCATTTCTCCTTTCAATGTTACTATGGATGTGTCCCTGCTCAAGAATCAGGGCTTCTGAGGGACTTCGATTATGAGTTGAAGTAGATGGGGATGCAGGTGCTTTATATGGCAAGCATCGTACACTGAGACATATTCCATAGGTGATTTTGATAAAGGCTATGAGATGAATTGTTTATTTTGTTTTACATTCTATGTTTGAAGAGAAGGCTCATGGAGAGGCCATGTGACTGCTAGTTGTTGCTTATATTGTTATTTTCTTTATTATTTTTGTTACGATTATTGTCCTTATTATTACATTCATTTTAAATGTAATCAATAGGAGAGCAATATGCAAGTTTAAGTATTGGTATCTTATGATTTATCAGTAGCTGTTTCTAAATATTCCAAAATACTTTTCCTAAGGAAATATTACATTAGAGTGGTCACATATGAACAAACCCAGCCTCATACTTACTGCTTTAGTAAATATGTGCCTGGAAAACTGTATTTTATAGCATGAAATAAGCTTGGGGTTAATTTATTGCTAAGAAATTAGAGAAAATATACAGCTTGACCTCATCTTTTGTGCCTTTGTTTGTTCCAAATAAATAACTTTCACTATTGACTTTAATAATAAATGATTTTTGAGAAGGCAGGTATCTTTGAAATCCTTTGAGATACAAGGTTTAGATCCATAAATATTGGTTGTAGTCTTTTTTAAATAATAGTGTTCTAATCAATTGTCTAACTCATTTAGGATATTTCTACTCACAGATATTTTACACAAAACTTCAGAGTCAATCATGCAAGCTATGACAGATGCATAGTAAAAGGAATCTCAGAATTATTAAATTGAAGATGAGAAAAAGTTCTGCTCTGGTTGCCCAGAGGTGTTTTACTTTCAGATGAGTCCCAGTCCGGGCATTCACATCCTCCACTGTGACTTGTGCAAGAATCAACTTCACAAGAAAGTTTCAAGGCAAAACATGAAGATGAAAACCTTTTTATCTGTCTTAGAATGTATGGAAAATAAATTATTTCCAAATAGAGCAGAAAATTTACATTGTTCTCTCTTCTTTGAATAGGTTATGTGGGTATGCAATTTATGTCGAAAGCAACAAGAAATCTTAACCAAATCTGGGGCATGGTTCTTTGGAAGTGGCCCTCAGCAGCCGAGTCAGGACGGAACCCTGAGTGACACAGCTACAGGTGCTGGCTCTGAGGCGCCCCGAGAAAAGAGAGCAAGACTGCAAGAGCGATCGCGGTCCCAGACACCACTGAGCACAGCAGCTGCCACCTCGCAGGATGCTGCTCCTCCAAGTGCAGCACAGGACAGGAGCACAGGGGTGGAGCCCTCCCCGAAGGCCCTGGGGCCTGAGCAGAAGCAGGCTTCCTCCAGGTGTAGGAGTGAACCTCCAAGAGAGAGGTAATAGTTCATTGGCACTGTCAGTGAAAGTCGAGGTCTTGCTTGCAGAGCAAACCCACTTTCAAACATGTAACTTCTACAAGGTGTGATTAAAATACAGTGAATGTTTAATTTAAAAATGGACATAGTAAAAGACACTGCCATGGATCCCTTTCAAAATATCCCACCTTGTCCTATTGTTCTTGCCACGTTCTGAAGCAGTTCTGGAAGTCCTCTTCTCTGAGTGTCTTTAGTTGTGTGCTGTTATGGCTGCCTAGTGTCCTCCATTCAAAATGTTTACCTTTCATGGTCATTTTGACTTTGGGGAAGAGCCAGAAGTCACATGGTGCCAGATCTGGAGAATATGAGGATGAGAACATACCACAATGTTTTTATTTGACAGAAATTCCTGGAAAAGATTGATCAATGAGGGTGATCAAAAAAATCCGATGAGTGTTTACATTTAAAAGATCATCACACCAAAAGACACATTTCACTATTGCCACACACTGCCATCTCAGAATACCCAAAATGCCTCCCCTTGTTTGGAACACACTTCTCCCATCATTCTTAGCACGGTATCTTTTACTGTAATAAGCTTTTTAAAAACTTAGATATTCACCTTATTTGTGGCTCACCCTCAGTTTAGGAGGAGTTCATGGAAGGCATGCTTCTCAGGCCCCATAAGGCGGGTAACACCTGGCCTCAGGCGATCCATGTCTAGAACACACCATCCCACAGCATACTATATTAAAAGTTTTTCTTTCCTGTCATGCGCAGATATAAACCTACATTAAATGATCCATTACTAACTGCCAATCTCCAATCCAGAAAAAGCTCTTAGATGGTCGTTCATTTATAGAATTAGTCCTGTAATTTAAAGTGCACTCTGGGTGACCCTGACCTATTGAAGTCTTCTTTGAGGATATTTCTTTTATGCTAAGCTCTGAGAAGTGACTAGGGAATTATTAGGAGGAGGGTATTCCTGGCATTTGCCCAGGTAGAAGGCAAAGGCTGAGAAAACTTCAGGAAGAATCCAGATGGAACGGATGACAACCTGCTTGTTTTCAGTTATTGGAGTTTCTTTCCTTTGTGTCTTGTGCACTGATCAATGGAAACAAAACAAAGTTAGAGGTGAGAAAATCATAATTAGTGGAGCATAGTAACCGAGACTGGAAAACTCCTTCCCTCTTTCACAAAGCATCTTCACAGATGGCGCTCCCTAAAATGTTCATAAGAACTCTCTATCTGCCCTTCAAGAAAAGTAAGCTGATTCAATGTAGACTCTACCATGAGCAACTCTGCCTTAATGAGTCAGCAAATGTTTGCCTGCAAACATCACACTCCCATGAGAAAGTGTGTTTGATAATGATTAGTGTATGATCATTTTGACCACTTCCACAGCAACCTCTCCCTTGCAGTTCTTTCAGATCCAAATCCCTTTCTTTCAAAGGGCCTGAATGATCTAAATGCCTTCCGCAGAACTCACTGTATTTCTGTTTTGTTTTCCTGTACCACGTGAAGCTCTGTGTGTTCTCTCCATCATCCTGAGACTGTGCTCATGCCCATCCCACAACATACTTTAGCAACTGAGTGTTTATCAATCCACAACAGAAACTGCTCGCTCTTCCCCACTTTGTGTTTTTCTTGATTTTCATTCGTGACTCTGCTTTTGGACTTCCAATCAGGGCCCTCCTTGGGGCCCTGAAAACGAGCCTTAGCGGCCTCTACTTTAATTACACATCAGATTATGTGAGTTCCGAATGCTTAGCCAAAGTCCCTACTTTTTGCAGTTTCTAGGCATAATTGCTAGAACTTCTCCAAATTAAGTGTACTTCGTGTACAGAGTACTGAAGGGTAGAAATAAATGGTATTTTATTGCATTCGAAGATTGCCAAGCCCTCAGCTTTTACTTTTATCATTGCCAGAGCCTTCCCACAGCATAGAGAGAAGAGTATAATTCAGACTGTTTCCTTCTTTTGGTCCCTATTCTGAAATGAGTGGTAGGGAGAGCAGGAGGAAGAATGAACTGACTTCAAGAATGTATTTATTATTTTAACTTGAGGGATTAAAAATGTAAGTTATGGTTAGCGATTGTTTCCTCACCAACTCCCCCAAAAGCCGATTTGGGTGTACATGATCAAGAGCAAAGTAATTTGTTCTACCATGGACAATGAACTATTAGAATTGGTTTCTGAAATGCACACACATGTATTTACATTCAGTTACAGTAAAAGACTGTTATACATGTTGTCGTATATATAGGGGGGCACAAAGTACATATTTGGTCTTGAGGTGATATGTCTATATTATCTTTTGCTACTATAGTATCTATTTTATTTTCATCTAAAACATTTTAAAGTCTTTGACAAGTAGGGGTTTGCTTAAACTCCACCTATTTAACTAATGATTTAATTAATTGATGATCTTTATGGATCTGGTGAAAATGCAAATTTTAAAATGTGGAAACAAGCTTTTAAATTCTGGAATACATATGATTAATGCAAGGGGCCAAAATTAAAAACCTAATCATTTATGCTGGTTTGATGTAGTTTTATCACCTTAATGTTTGATTAGACATCGACTTATACCTTGAAATAACTTAAGAGTGGAATGAAAAGAAAAGGCGTCCGGGTCTCAGCGCTGAGTTTCACCAACTCGCTTCCTCTGGCCTTCTCTGCGCACCACAGGAAGAAGGCGCCGGGGCCGTCGGAGCCGAGCGGCCGAGGGGCGCAGAGGGCCGAGCCGCGGAAGCGCGCGCCCAAGCCGCCAGCGCAGGCCGGGGACCGGGAGCGGCGCGAGGGCCGGCGGCTGGAGAAGGGGAGCTCGCAGGACCTGCCCGACGGGCCAGAGCAGCGCCAGGCCGGGTCCGCAGCGGACGACAACAGGCAGCGCCGGGAGGAGGAGTATCAGACCCGGTACCGCAGCGACCCGAACCTGGCGCGGTACCCGGTGAAGCCGCCGCCCGAGGAGCAGCAGATGCGCATGCACGCCCGGGTGTCCCGCGCGAGGCACGAGCGGCGGCACAGCGACGTGGCGCTACCGCGCACCGAGGCCGCCGAGCCCCCCGAGAGCGGGCCGGGCCCGCGCGCGCCCGCCGCCCCCGAGCGCGCCTCCGAGCCGCCCCCTTCCCGCGCCGCGCCCGCGCCTTCTGGCGCCCCGGAGCCCCGTGGCCCCGAGCCGCCGCGCAGGCAGGGCCGCCTGGAGCCCGGCGCCGCCGTACTGGTGCGTAAGGCCAAGCGCGAGAAGGTGGAGACCATGCTGCGTAACGACTCGTTAAGCTCCGACCAGTCCGAGTCCGTGAGGCCGTCGCCCCCGAAGCCACACCGCGCCAAGAGGAGCGGCAAGAAGCGGCAGATGTCGGTGAGCAGCTCGGAGGAAGAGGGCGTGTCCACGCCGGAGTACACCAGCTGCGACGACGCCGAGCTGGAGAGCGAGAGCGTCAGCGAGAAAGGTGAGCGCGCCGGGAGGAGGTGGGTGTGCACCAGACAGAGCTGCAAGTGCCAGGGTGGGAGAAGCAGGTGTGTGGGGCTGCTGAGTGCGTCTGTGTGCGCCAGGGAGAGAGAAAGCGCGCGCCTATTCACCTTTGCCAAGGTCAGCAGTGCATGCACTCCAGGTTTGGAGGGGTGTGTGTGTGTGTACCGGATTTGTAGGTGTGTGTGCGTGCCAGGGCAAGAGGTATGTGCGTGTGCCGAGGTCAGAGAAAGTGCCTGTGTCTCGGGTTTGGAGTTGTGGGTGTACCACGTGTGCCAGAGTGGGAAGTGTGCGTGAGGCTTGGAACGCTCACAAAGATGCAGCCAATGGAAGGTATTCGTTTTAATTAATTGGTGGGATTTAAACATAACCATGAGCTCCGAATTGACTTGGGAGAGTGACTTAGGAGAGATTTTGATTCCCGTCATTGTGGAAGATTACTGTATGCATTCTTATGTTTTTCAGGTAGCATTTTTAGAATTTCAGATTAAACTTTCATACAACTTATGAAGAAAGCACCTTTATGTCATGTAAGGTGTTTGTTATATATTGTGTTTTAGGTAGTAACTTTGAGATATGAAGTTCACATTTGAAAAGTTTTAGGAATGCAGTGTGATAGAATTGTTTTTCTAACTGAACTGTGCAATACTGTAGTCATGTGTAGCTGTTTATATCTAAATAAATTAAAATTAAATAAACAGATATTTAGTTCCTCAGTCCCACAAGCCACATTTCAGGTCCTCAAGAGGGATCATCACAGATAGTCCTAGGATTTGATAGAGCTGTTGTAGGAAGTACTTCAATTTGATACTAAAATTACACACTTGTTTTGAAAGTATTTCAAAAATATTTCTCATTTTGCTGCTATTCACTCAACTTTTAACTGACCAAAGTTCCAACTTTACTGGTGGTGGTCACTATCCATGTGGTAGTGTTGAGGCTCTTGGATAGTTCTTAATGAATTTGTATTTTGGAGAACTTTTTTTTTTTAAGTTTTGGCTTGCTTTATAATTACTGGGTTATATTACCAAAATATATGCTACATATGGTACAGTTTATTAAAAGTCACTGTTTCCTTCTCTCGCATCTCCAAACTGCTTGCATATCATGCACCTGTGTCTTCCCCAATGTGCAGTCTTCAATCACATGCTCTATATAGGAACGATTAAGAAAGCTTATTCTATCTTTATTATTACTGCAAACCAACGCGAGTATGTGTCTTTGGAATTTATGTACATAAGGTCAGTTTGGCTCCTTGAGTATGTCCTCTGATGACTTCTCTTCATAAGTGGCATACTGGCTATAGGCTTTTAAAGAGGCAGTTCATGGATATTCTCACTTCTGTTTTCCTCTAAAGTGATAAAGTAGATGTTGAATACAAATATAAATAGATGTGTGTTAACTGGTGTGCGGTTAACTCTTGACAAGGATAGATATGTGTATTTTCCTTGAAATAATTCTAAGCTAAATATTAAAATAAGTATTATAAATCACAGCAGGCATGGAATCAGGCAGAATGGACTCCTTAAGTTACATACACTAGGAATGCGTGATGGAAGAAAGCCTGACTGGGTCTGGGTGCATGGGAGGAGCTCGCTGTCTGTGTTGGGTATCTTCCTGGGTTTCCTCCTGGAGACTTGGGGGAATGTAGTCTTAGTCTTAGTCGGGGATGTACACAGTTTTGAAGCTCATGTTAATCCTCTTCAGCTGGGAACACAGGGGCATCACATATACATGTATCTGATACAGATAATCTTGTTTTCTCTTACCTTACTATTCATCTGATTCTCAGATTTCTGGAATATATTCCAGTCAAGACAGTTTTCCTAAATTAATATTTTAACCAATCCCATATCACTGCTTATGAAATGAAATATTAACTCTTATGAAATACCTCTTAATAATAATGTAGCACATTTTCCTATTTCAAGCATAATCAGAAATGCCGCCATCTGTAACATCTATCAGTAACTAGATTGCCAAACTCCACCATTGCAATCTTGGGGATGTCGTACCCCATGACACCGCACGTGATATTCAACCTCCTTCTGTAAGTCTTTCCCTGTTTTTAATTAGCGCGGTAGAGGTAAGAGGAACCACTTTGTAAGGTTGTTGAGTGGTTTGGATGAGATGCTGCACAGAGTGTTAAATAAGCATTATTCCCGTCTTGCGTTTGCCTGTAGTGTCAATCTCATGGATATTTAAGATTGCTGTGAGTGTGAGATAGCCACCGTAACTATCAAAGAAGAGTAAATACCTCCTGTAGTCTCCAATGGGATGAGAATGGAAAGGATGATCTGAGAACAGATCTCTTAGGAAACAGTGGATGCCATACATGAGTTTCAGGAGCGGAGGTGATCACCCTATGGTATATAGGAACAATTTTAAAGGGACGGTGGAAGATAAAAGTCAAGGTTGAATATATCCCAGGCATTTTCTTGTTCCATTTATCGGTTACACACATAAAGTTAAACATTTAACTTAATATCTGGGATATTATAATCACTTAATATGTTACCAACATTCTTATCACTGATAACTGTTATTTTTATTTTACTAATATGCTGTGTTGGTTCTTTAAATTTATTAGCAACTATGAATTTTGTGCTATCTGTGAATATACTCACTTTGAAAAAGATAAATATGTTCCCTTTCCTTGCAGAGCTTACGTTGTGTTGGGAGAAAAAAAAATAATTACACAATAAAATATAATTTAATGAATGCTTCAAAGGGACATTTCTCCCTGGTATATTGATAAAATTTTACTCTGTTCAATCAGCTACTTAACAAAAATTGATAACTCAGTGAAAGTAGCCTCTGAAAGATGACACGGCCTTTATATTCAGTATAATCTAGTCCACTGACTCACACATACATACTTACACTCACATACACACAGATTAACAGTAAACTCTGTACACTGGGGTTATCTAAAAATTAAAGTCAACTACTACATGTTTTAAAGTAAATGCTGTCCATATTGCTACTGTCAAGTAAAAAAAAATTGTACTTCTCTGGTCTCTTATTTAATAAATATTAAGTAATATCAGTTTCTCTACGCAGAAGAAAAACAGATACCAGTGAACTAATATGATAAGAATTTGTAAGATACCAGCTGAATTTAAATGAAATGTGTAATATAACCCACTGAGAGAACTAGTAGAGATTTGTGCCTCTGAGGCATTGAGTGAAGAGGTCTATGAGGAAAGAGGCAATTATGGTGGTGATATTGAGGATAGAAAGAAATGGTACCCATTCTGGGAAGAAACATAGAGATGTTGCTGTCTTATTCCACTTATACTTACAAAGAATTTAATGTGTAAGTCCTAAGCCAGAAGGATTTGAAGAGGAGACATTGGATAATAGCATGTCCTTATTTGTCTAGTCCTTGTTGATTTTGCGTTAACTAAATAACACAACACAAATCAATTATGACTGAACTTCTCCCTTTCCTGCTGCCTCTTTCTTTCTGGTTTTGGAGATTGACTGAGGGCCTCATGCAGACCAAGTATGCACTTGAGGCGGAGCCAACTCCCAGCCACTGCCTTTGAACTTGTAAAGTACTTGACGAATGGCTTCTGAGGTCAACCTGTGCAACAGGGACGTATTGGTTGGCTTGCAATTGTTATTGGTAGGAAGTGTTTAGCAGTCTTTTTTGGAGCATGTGGTATCTGGATTAGCCTAAGAAATGATCCTGCAATGGTACGAAATGATGAGTAGTTGAAAAGCAAGGCTGAGGACTCTAATTAGTAGTGAGTGTGAAAAAAACAGTATCACTGGACTCCATCTAGGTCATGGGCAAGATGAACAATTGACTATTGAGCCTGAGAATCCAACAGTTCTATCACTGGGGAATCAAGAAAACAAGTTGGGAATTCAGTTATTAAATTCTTTTAGTGTAACTTATTCATACAGTTCTTTATGTAATGCTCTTGTCCTTCAATGAAAAGTACTGGGAGTACCCTCTTTGGCCTGCATCAGTGCAGTGCCTGGTGCTCACACAATAGCTTATAATTTGGATGTTATTGACTTCTCTTTCTTGAGATCAAAAACAATTTTGATATCCTTTTAACAATTCTAATGGTTTTTCTTCTAACCTTAAGACTGTTTGGAGTTCAAAAATTTGGTTATCATTCATTTCCTTATGTATTAATTCACATAATAAATGTTTCCATGAATGTAATGATCTAGAGGTACAGTGATTAGATAGGTAGGTAGGTAGATAGATAGAAAAAGATACATGGGAGAGGAAGGGAGGGAAGAAGGGAGGGAGGGAGGGGGAGGAGAGAGAGAGAGAGAGAGAGAGAGAGAGAGAGAGAGAGAGAGAGACTGACTCATGGTTCCTCATGGTATTTCCAGTTGGCTAGCCAGAACACTCTGACAGAGAAATAGGATGTCTCCAGATGAAATCGGGCTCTATAGTAAAAATTTGGTTACAAACATTTAGAAAATCATGACTTTTAAACAATTACAACTTAAAAGAGATTTTCTCTTCATATGACTATCAGATATAAGGATCTGTTTTTCTTACTCCATGAAACCTCAATAAAAACTCATAAAAGGAGGCTGCCTATAAGCTAATAAGGTATTTATTGTGTTAGCTTTCCCTTGTTGAGAAAATCAGCTTACAAGAGGGATTTATTTTGGCTCCTGGTTGTAGAAGCTTCCTCTGTGGTCGCTTGGCTTCATTGTTTCTGGGTCTGTGCCTCAGTGGAGCATCATGGGAGAGAGGATGTGGCTGCGGAAAGCTACTCACCTCATGGTGCCTTGGCACGAGATAGAATGAGAGGGAAGGAAGGGGACAGCGTCCCAGACAACCCTTTCAAGTGTGTGGCATCTGTGCCAGTTTATCTCCCTGTCAACTGGATAGATTTGAGACTCCTGGAGAGGTGCTTGGACCACAAGGGTGCTGTACTCCTCAGTGGATTAATCCACCGACGCAAATAGTAGCTGAATGTGGAGTTAGGAGGTGGGGCCCAG